CAAAAACCAGTCAACCAAATAATGCGGTGGCTTTCTGTCTTACGTCCAAAATAGGTTAGACGTGGCATTCCGCAAAAAGGGAGAAAAAAAACCGGAGAGATCGAACGGGGGAAAAACGGGCAACCCTTCGCAGCAAACTGAACGTAGCAATTTTTACTGGTACGTGTCGTGCATTTTGAGCGGCGACGACTTCTTGAAAATCGAAATGTCGACAACGGTACAGAACATTTGTGATATTATAACTAGATTGTAGTCGAAAGCGTACGAGAATGAATATAACGAGCAAATAAGAAATTTAATAACGCGTACTCAATTTTCTTTTGCGTGCGGGGGCACGTAACGCGAACTTTTTACTTCAATTTTTTCAATTTAAACGCCCTTATAGAGGGCTAATCCCTTACATTGTTAGAGGTATTACTTAGGATCGTAGTAGATTATCAACGCAGACGGAGATTAATCGATTGTAGATTAGATCACACTGTCTAAACGTTGTATCCTTTCATCTGGAGAATTCCTGGAAGTGTTTTTCCATCCTCTTTGAAAATTTGACCGCCTTCTTGCTATAACGGTTCTAAAATGCAACACAAATCCCAAAATCCATGTTACGTAAAGGTATTTTTCAGAGCATTACATTTGTCTTCCCATCAGAATTTGTAGGACTATTTCTAGGAGAAAACGGTTCCTAAGTAGATCTTTTAAAATGCTTCAAAAGATTCCCTAACAAGTATTTCAAGATTTCAATGGATTTTGAGGAAGTATTTAGTAAGAATTCTGAAGAAGGTTATTAAGATTTATATCTAAGTAAAAACGGCTAATAAAAAGATTCTTTAAAATGTTGCTAAAGAAGAATAGTAGAAAAATTCCTAGCAAGAAATATCTTAGATCCATAAAAAAATAAAAAAAAATTTTAAGAAAGTGTTCAGGAAGAGTTTCAAACCAAGGCGAGTTCGTCACAAACTTAGGCAGAGTAAAAGTGTGATCTATTCTCCCTAGGATTTTACCGAGCGAGCTTTTAGAACTGCCACTTTTGCATATCTTCGGCACTTTCCACATTGAAATAGGCCTGTTACTAAACTTCCACGTAAAAGTGAAACTCCGGATCGCTCGCCACAAAACTAGACACAGTTGACTTACTCCTCCGAACCTTTACTCTATTTTGAACTCTTCATGGAAACTTTCTTAAAATCGTTCTTCGAAATCTAGGCAGAGTAAAGGTCTGAGGGGGTAATAGTTCGGGAAATAAGAGACTGAAAATGGGCCATTTCCTGCAAAACGAGAAGTAGTTCCAATTATTTTTTTGCATGTTATGGAGGAATATCTGATGGTGAAAAATCCAAGTTTTCGATCTCCCACTCCTTATGCTTCCCCCGTACCACCCCTAAAATCAAAGAAATTTGGTTGGTTTTTTAGTTTTTCAATCATATCTTTTTATAGGTTCACTTTACAGAAAAATATTCTTATTAGAAATTGTAAACAATCAAATTTTACACTTATATACTTTCGTAAGTTTTTTATTTCAAAGTTGTCTTTATTTTAAAGATTACGAAATTTCTATGTATGTACAGGGTGAGTCAACGATTGCGCGGAGTAACTTAATGCCTTGAAGATAAGATTTTTCGATAGAGTGCTTTGGATATGGTTGAATATTCTCCACATTTTAAAAATATTTGGAATTATACAGGGCGAGCCCACAAAGTAGGGCGCCCAAATGGTACATTTTTTAAAATAGTTTTTGGACTTAAAATAAATTGTTTGAAAAATAAATCAATCGATATGATTTTCGTTTTGGACGATAGATAAAAATTGCCTTTTTTTATCGTGACCACCTCACTATTATGTAAATTACATATAACTTATTTAAGATTAGAAGATAAAAACCAGGAAACCCAAGATATTTCGAAAACTATCAGAGATAGGTATAGGACATTATTATCAAAAGTTGAAGGTTTTTGGAGGAGCTAAGTGATGACAGAAAAATATACAGGGTGTTCCATTTAAAAAAAGTGAGATTTTTTAATATGAAGTTTTGTAACTTTGGATCAAAAAAACACCCTGTAAGCTATTTTTTTAATGTTTCATAGTAGATGTATTTATTTGACTTTTACTTAACCCAAGATAAAAGATATAAAACCTGGAATAAAAATTTAAGTAATAATTTTGACAATATAAACTGACGCTTGCAAACGCCCAATTTTTCTTAAAAATCGAATTATCTTTTAAAACTACTAGCTTTTCGGATATTAACCATATAATAAAAAAGACGTACAATTACACGTAGAATTCAAAAATGCATTCAAATACAGGGGTTCTATTTCAAAAATGTACCATTTGGGTGCCCTACTTTGTGGGCGCATCCTGTATAATTCCAAATATTTTTAAAATGTGGAGAATATTCCACCATATCATAATACAAAAGCACTCCATCGAAAAATCTTATCTTCAAGGCATTAAGTTACTCCGCGCAATCGTTGACTCACCCTGTACATATTTCAACGAAATTACGTACCCTGCACCCCTATCAAAGAGGATGATAGCACTTCAACCCCTTGGTCATAGTAGGAATTCATCACTGTGTGATTATGATGCTTTCGAGTACGATTATCAAATAAGAAAAATGGTCTTAATTCATTTTAACCCTTTCCATCACCTACAAAAAGGGATGATTATTTCAACCCCCTATAGTAGTGATTGTCCTACTATCTATGATTATACCGCTTTCGAACATAATTTACAAATCATTATTTTATATGAACATGAATAGTAAATGTCTTTAGCGCCTTTTTGAAAAAAAGTAGCGTTTACAGAACAACATAAGGGTAAACCACTCATTTCAGTAGGGGGTAAACTGGAACTCTGACTAACTTATCAATCGCCACAAGTGATTCAAATATCTCGAGAAAGTTGAATTATTATTCATTCCCTTTGGTAAGGGTGCAGGATAGGGGGGCTTTAGACCACGGTAGGTTCAAGATATTTTCTCATAAAATTCTTAATTATAAGTATAAATTTTGGTTAAAACATCTACATAGAAATTTCAGAATTCTTAAAAGCAAACTTTGAAGCTCTGTATCTCTTTTAATAAACATTTCACAAAAAAGTAGCGTATATAAAAGTTGTGTAGATTTTATGGTCTACAATTTCAATTTTTTCTAAAGTGAACCATTAAAAAGATATGATTGAAAAACTAAGAAACCAACCAATTTCAGAGGTTTTGGGGGTGGTACGGGGGAAGCACAAGGGGTGGGAGGTCGAAAACTTAGATTCTTAACCACCAAATGACTGTCTATGACATGCAAAAGAAGCTACTTCTCATTTTGCAAGTTTAAACCCTCTATTCCCTGGACTATGTCATACTTCTACTAACTGCCTAGGTTTGTGCTTTAAAAAATATCACTTTTGCATACCTTCGGCTCTTTCGTCGTTGAAATGTGGCTGCTATTAGATTTCCACGCAAAAGTGATAGAATTAACATCAGTGCCGAGCGAGCCGGGGGCGAGTGCGGTACAAACCTACGCAGGGTAGAGGTATAACTTACCCCACCAGATCTTCTATTTTAAAATCTTCCTGAACACTTTCTTAAAATTTTTCATCAATATTTACGCAAAGTCATGATCTAATGGGGTAGGTCATACCTCTACTCTACTCTGCCTAGGTTTGTGTCGAACTCACCTTCGACTCGCTCGGCAATGCTTTTAAAGCTATCACTTTTGCATACATTCCGCTCTTTAGGCATTGAAACGTGCCTGTTATTGAATTTCCACGAACATAAAATAAAATAAAAGAAGGATAATAAATAAATAATACATAATATTATAGTGCCGAGCGAGCCAAAGCCTAGGCAGAATAGAGGTATAACTTACCCCACCAGACCTTTACTCTTCCTGGAAACTTTCTTAAAATCTTTCTTTAATATCTAGGCAGAGTAATCATCTCATGGGGTAGGTCATACCTCTACTTTGCCTACAGTTATGCCGAACTCGCCTTCGGCTCGCTCGGCATTGGAATAGGCCTGTTATTAAACTTCCACGTCAAAGTGATGC